ATTTCACATTTTCTAGTAGTGGTATTGAAAAATAATAAGAAACAGGTGAAATTGAGTTGAATAATACATTTTGTTTAACCCAGTATATTCAAAATATTATCATTTCAATATGGAGTTAATATAAAAAATATTAATGGGAATATTGCCCTCTTGCATTCATACTATGTCTCTGAAATCAATGGTGTATCTCACACCTCCGAAGCATCTCAGCTGGGACCAGCAGCATTTCAAGTGCTAAGTGGCCTCCTGCTGCACATGGCTACTGATTGGCCCATGCTGGTCTAGACTACAGCCACACCCCTGCCTCATGGGTGTGTGCAAGGGCACTGTGCCCAGAGTAGTGTGGGCGTATGCTCAGTGTGAACCCTTACCATCACTCACATCACAGGGACGCAGGGCCTACCACAGTGTCCTTGAATGATGATACAGCTGTGCTGAAGCCTTGCTTTGAAACCTCCACAGTGACCTTGCCTGGCTCATTTCGCTTCCTGGCTGGGGTTGGCACCTTTCTCAGCCCTTCCAGACACCCACCTGGACCACACCTGCTCCATCATCCTTGCTCCTGTAGCAGAGCCCACCTCCCTTGGAGTTTGCCACCTTGCTGCCCAGAGGATGGCTGAGGTTCCTGGGAAGATCCCTGGGTTGCTCTTTATACAAAGCCAAGGGCAGCCCCTGGCATGTGGGTTCTTTACTGGCACAGGGCAAGAGCCTTTTCTAAAACCCGGGGGTGGATGGGTGGGCTTGCTGTGGAACCCAGAGTGCTGCCCAGCCCCCAAGGTAGTATTTTGTCTCCCAAGGAGCTGGGTGGGTGGAGATCTGTTCCCATGCTCACTCCTTCTCCAAATGCCATGCCAAGGGGGAAATGCCTTTCAGTGCCATGTGTGTGCCAGCATCCAAGACAAGCTGTGGGCAGGAGGGGCCCTGAGCTGGCAGCAGGGGGTTCAGGGAGCCCAAAGAGGTTCTGGGCAGGGAGTTGGGGGGTGTTGGGCCTGGATAGAGTTTGAAATCCTCCCTCAGATTCCAACTCTAAACAGGAGGTGTGAAAAGACATATTGTTCACGTACTCTGTTTTCTAAAGGGGATATTTTGTGATATACCCTGACCCACATTATTCTGCAGTTGCTTCTGGAAGCAGAGAATGAGTTTGTGTCTCATATCCAAGCGTTCACACACACACACACACACCACACACCACACACACAAACACACCACACACACAAACACACCACACACACACACACAAATACCACACATATACATGCATACCACATACACACCACACACACACCCCCCCACACACATCACACACACACAAACACCACACATATACATGCATACCACATACGCACCACACACATCCACACACCACACACACACACCACACACCACACGAACACACACCACACACAAACACCACACATATACATGCATACCACATACACACCACACATACGCCCACACCACACACACACCACACACACACCACACACACACACACTACATACCACAAACACACCACACACCACACACATGCACCACACCACATACACAACACACACACCACACACACACACACATGACAAACCACACTCACACACATACCATACACTGCACATACCACACACACACACACACACACACTACACAAACCACACACACACCACACACACATACCACATACACCACACATACACCACACACTTGCACATACCACACACACCGCACAAACCACACACACCACACAAACACATATCACACACACCGCACACTCACACATAGCACACACACCACACAAACTACACACGTACCACACACTCATACCATACACACCAGACACACACCACACACATACACAGCACACATCCCCCCCACAGATACCCCACACACATACCCCCCACACACCACAACCCCCCCACACACCCCACACATACATACCATACACACCACACACACACCACACTCACACTACACACACCACACACATACACACCACGCATCTCCCCACAGACACCCCACACACATACCCCATCCCCCCCACACACACACATACACACCCCACACACAGTGCATCTATGCTCACCCCATATACATTGATACGGGAGGGAAGATGTGAGTTTCACCTATAGACTTACACGTAGACCACCACAGACCTAGCGCCTGCCCCGGAATTTATCACACAGCATTCGCTTGCTGGATTACATGCTTCTGAGAGGTTTTCCTCAGTCACATTTTCACTTTCAGCAGGGAGCCCTGTGGGATGAGACTGTTAGTCCCGATTAGCAGAGAGGAAAGGGAGGTCTGAGGTGGCAGCAGGACTTACTGAGGCTGACATGGCCAGGGGCAGAGCCTGATTCCCGCCTCCCCACCCTGGCTGACGTTGCTCCTGTCACTTGTCCCACTAGCTAGTAAGCTCTGTCAAGGCAGGACTGCACGCTCCTGATTTCTGCACAAGTACTTGGACCAGGGAGGCAGGAAGCTACATTGTCAAGAGCTGGAACGAGGTTCAAATGTCAGCTCCCCTGATTACTCGCTGTGTGACTTTTGGCAAATTACTTAACCTCTCTGAGTCTCAGTTTTCGCATCTATAAAGGAGGATAATCACACTTGCTTCATAGTATTGCTATGGAAGTTGTACAATGTGCCTGATAAATGTTGCTGGGTGAACTGAGGTAGGTCTCATGCATGCGCTGGCTCGGGACTTGGTCATGACGTTAAATGGAATCCCTTTCTCTTAGCACATGGTGGACATGCTTCACAAATGCAGAAGAAAAGAATATAGAGATGAAACTGTAAGTCATATCTACAATACACCTTTAGCACGGATTAGATTCCCAAATGCGCTGGGCTGTTGCTGAGACCACCCTGGTGCTTCCCCCTCGGCGGATCGCCCCCAGGGCTGGCATATTCCTCTTCCCACCTCAGAACCTTTACAGAAAGTTTGCATATCTCCGAAAAGCCCCCCTCGTAACTCTACTTCCTCAAAGTTTTCTTAGCAATTCTCACATACATTTTCTTCTATATAAACATTTATAACCATTTTTTTCCCATTAAGATCTCACTGGGCCCCTGGCTGTACATGTGAATTGGGGAGCATGGCCATGGATGGAATCTGGCTAGGAAGAGGCTGGTCTCTGAGTGGAGCCCAGCGCGTTGCCATCAGTCTCACGGCCACACAGCGGGCGGGGCTTCAGGATGCCCTGAGAACTCAAGTGCCGTGCATTCCTTTGTCCCAGAAGCATGAAACAAGCATGGGGTGGGAGGTCCGGGTTCCCCAGGCAGGGGCTGCTAGAATAGAGGTGCCTGTGCTGGTCCCGGGGGCTGCCCTCCATCCCGCTGCCTGCGTCCCTCCGAACGCTCTGCTCTTTGCTGGTCTCCTCTGGCAGAGTCCTCGGGCTGCCCTTCGCTCCTCAGCGCCGGCTGTTCTGGGAGCTGCCTGGCGCTCCAGCATACTTGGACTCAAGCGTAAACCTCTTGCCTCCTCTGACTGGGCTTCTCTCAAACTCTCACCTTTTCTCCATCCACTCCCTGCCCTCCCAGACATGGCAACCTGCAAAGCTGTACCCAGATAAAGGCGTAGCCATACCCAGAGCCTGAAATAAAGGCCGACTTAGCTCCTTCTGGGCAATCCTGTAGAAAACGCTCAGCTTCCCTCAAGTAGGGATGGTTAGAATCTGGCATCAGAAGATCTAAGTTTGGGCCCTGGCCGCTTGTTAATGAGAAGATCCTGGGCAAGCCCTTCACTTGCTCTCAGTTCCCATTTCTTTCATTTGTGAAATGGAGCTAATAACTTTTTGGTAAGGTGGTTTTGAACCAATGACAGGTAGGCACCATGCCAGGCATGAGGATTTAGCCGTGGATGAGACGGACTCACTCCCTGCCGTCGTCAGGCACACTGAGGCACTGGAGCTGTCCCCATTCCCCGGCTCTCCGTCTGCTGTCGGCTCTCAGCCTCAGTGCTGGCTGAATCAGACCCAGGGTCTTTAAGTCCACAGGCAGGAGGCTTAATCCCAATGCTCGGTTTCCTCCTCTGTGAAGGGGGTTTCTTCATCCCCAAGGAGGCCGTCAGTGTCAGCTGGTGACAAACATGCTTGTGCCACGTTCCCTCTGTCTCCAGGCTGTTCTGCCTCCAGCAGGCCCTGACCTGGGCTCTGGACTCTGGGGCCCAGAAGCTGCCAGGTGCCCACCTCCTGCCCTCCCTGCGCTGCCTGCCCCTGCCTTTCCTTCACCTTGCCTGGCCTCAGCAGGCTGGCTCTATGCGGCCATGTGTGTGACTCCCCTGGCTTTTTGGAGGTGCAGAACTTTGTCCCTTCCACTTGGTATACCCTGGGATGCAGCTGAAAGAGGAAAACCCTGGGGTGCCCACATCACCCCCACCCCGGAACAGCAGCCTTCACAGTCAGGACCTAGGCATGCAACTCCACAAACTGCAGAGGTCTATGCAGACCCAAGGCGGCCACAGCTGGGGTTAGACGTCTTAGATGTCACCCTGAACACTGTTTGCTGGATGAGGAGCTTTTGCTGAAAGCTGATATTTCTCTTTCCAACTTTTTTTGGCTTTTTCCATCTCCCATCCTCATAGTACCTCCAACGCCTAGAGTCTTGGAGTTTCCAAACTGAGAGACTCTGAATGTCTCCCCACAACTTCCTTGCTTTACGCTGCTCCGGGAGGGTGAGTGACCCACCCAAGGCCACACAGCCAGTCCAGGCAAAGGTGGGTCTGGAACCCGGGCCGCTGACTCCCAGTTCTGCTGAGGCGCTCTTCTTGCTCTGCTGTGTCAGGTTGGAAGAGGCCAGGCTGGACCTGTGCGGTTTGTCTGCCAGCTTCAGCCAACCCGGGCTGCTGACTCCTCACCCTGGGCCCGGCCTTTGCCCTGTAAGTGGCCACCTTCCTGCCCCAAACCTTCCCGGCTCTTTTCCTCCTGCCCACCAGCCCCCGTTCAGCAGGACCCAGTGGGGAAGGGAGCGGGGTCTCCCTCTGAGCCCCTCCAGGCAGGACTCACCGTGGCCGGGACGCTGCTGGCGGCTGCTGCTGTCACTGCTGCCAGCATCCAGGGCAGGAACCACCTCATGCCTGGACGTCAGTGGCACAGACATCGACCGAGCAGCCCAGAGGATCCGACCACCTCTCGGGGGAGCTGGGACCGGACTGGCCGGCCCATCAGGAGCACCAGATATGCCTCTTCCGCAGCCCTTGGGGGGTTTTATTAAAGCAAGATCTGACGTCAGGGTGAAGGACAAACCCTGCATTTTCCTCTGAAAAAACTTTTCCTGCCTCTCTCTCTCTCTTTTTTTTTTCTTTTTTCCCTCTGTCCCCACCTCCAGCCTGAGCTTGGCCAGCCTCCCCAGCTCTGACAGTTCTTAAAGGGAAAGTTACAAGGCTATGATTTCACACTAGGGTGTGAAATTCTCACAGAGGAACTGGGGTCACCCTGCCTAGGTCTTCACAACAGTGCAGGGCGGGGGAGCGGGGAGCGTGGGAGGGTGCGTGATGGGGGCAGAGATACTGTTACCTCAGGCAGGCGGGTGTGTGGGCTTTGAGAGGCCTCCCAGTGGAAAATCAACTCCTTGTCATTTCTCTAGGCTGCTCCTACTTCTGGTTTGTCTGTCTGTCTTTTTCTTTCTTTCTTTCTTTCTTTCTTTCTTTCTTTCTTTCTTTCTTTCTTTCTTTCTTTCTTTCTTTCTTTCGACAGAGTCTCACTCTGTTGGCCAGGCTGGAGTGCAGTCATGTGATCGTGGCTCTCTGCAACATCTACCTCCCACGTTCAAGCAATTCTCCTGCCTCAGCCTCCCAAGGAGCTGGGATTACAGGCATGTGCCACCATGCCTGGCTAATTTTTGTATTTTTAGTAGAGGCACGGTTTTACCATGTTGGCCAGGCTGGTCTCAAACTCTTGACCTTAGGTAATCCTCCTATCTCGGCCTCCCTAAGTGCTGGGATTACAGCCTGAGCCATCGTGCCCGGCCCTACTTTTGGTTTTCATTTGCCCTCTTGCACTCCCCTCTCCCTAGATGCAAGTGAAGGATGGGTTTCAGTTCACCCATCTAGAAATGACAGAGGTGATTATCCGCCCTTTCTCCAGGCATCAGCCTCATGGGCATCACACAGGGTGACTTATTTTCATTGTCAGTGGTGATTTATTGGAATCAGTGCTGTAGAGGATTCATGGCATGCTGCCAAGGCCACACAGGGTCCCTCTCTGAACAGGGTCTCCTCTGAACTTAGTTTATCCACATACTCCCTGGATTCTAATTCCCCATGCCCCTCCTCCACTCCCCGCTGGCAACAGGATCTGCATCCTTGAACTTGGATGATTGGTCTGCATGTGTCCTTGTAAACACACAGTGAGGCTGTTCATTCAGTAATCACGTATAGAGTACATACCACATGCTAAGTACCTTTGAGGTAGGTGCTCAGACATATATTCCTTATATTTGGGGAAATCAAGGCACAGAAGGCTAAAGGAACTGGCTCCAGGTCATGCAGCTAGCAGGCATCTGATGACAGACTTGAGCCAAAGAGTGGGCATCTGAGTCCTGAGCCTTTGTGAGTTGTTAATACACATAAATGGTAGGTGCAAAGCCTCCTTCCATTTTTCCTCCTTTCCTCTCAGTTCTATTTTTTTCAGATCTGTCTGGCAGCCCCTTCCCTAGTGAGTGGCTCCAGATTGCTGCCTTGGTTTCCCCAGTGTGACCTCATCCCATCTTCCGTAAGGGGCTCTCAAACTCCTTCCAACTCCCACCAGCAGACCCAGTCACTGCTCCTTTCAGGCCTGTTAGGGAATTCCTCTGGGACTCAGGGCTCGCCTGTTAGTTGCCACCTTGGCTGATCTCATTCTCATGTGGCTGGTGGTTCAATGTTGTCTACGCAGGCCTGGGTTGAACTTCTACCTCCTGCTATTTACTGCTGTGCACCCTGGGATAAGTCACATAACCTCTCTGGAAACAGAGAGGTTGTCTATAAAGTTTCCACTTGTCTATAAAGTGGAAATGAGAGAGGTACTGATCACTCTTAACTGCTCCTGGCACTGAGTGAGAGATATAGAAGGATTTATTAAACAGCTTAGCACATAGTACGTGTTCAGTAAAACCCCTCCTCTGGGATGCATATTCTTGTCACTTTCCCTTGCACCTTGAGGATAGGGTCCAACCTGGGTCACTCCCATATCCCACATTTGGGACTACCACACAGTAGATGCCTTTGATGTGTATGGCAAGGACCGGGGAGCCCATGGTGGGGACATTGTTTGGGCTCCAGCCTGCATTCATCCATGGTGGTAGGGCCTTACACTTCCTTCTCTCTGGGCCTGGGGTCCCTGCATCCAGCTGAGAGCAGGGCTTCCAGGCGTGTTCTGCAGCAGATCCCCCAGGGCAGCTGTAAATAAATTCCACAGAGGGGCTAGTGGAAGGAGCTCAAGAACAGAGGCCAGGCGAGAGCATTGCTCTACCAAACAGTAAGACCGCCTTGACCACAGCCAGATGCACAGAAGATTCCACAGGCTGTCTCAGGACCAGGCACCCCAGAGGCCCCCGCAGGGGCCATCTGCACCAGATTTACTCACAGTCTATTTGTTTGTCATTTATTTGTCCTGTGAACATGCACAGAGCCCACACTGTGCAGGAGGCAAGGTGCCCATTCCTGGATGACTCAGATGCACACAACGCATTTCTGCCAAATCAATTTGGCTGCTCAGGAAAGGCAGAGGAGGGTGGGGGTGGGTTCTTCCTAGACTTTCGCCTCCCTGCAGTGCAGGCATGGTGGCCCAGGTGAGGTTCAGCCTCTCTTCCTGAGCCCCCTCAAGAATGGAGGAACCATTGAAGGGGCACCCTCAACACCAGGCCTGCCTAGAGGCCAGAGGCGCCAAAATGTATCCCTTATGCCTACCTTAAACAGCTGGGTCTACTCTGGGAGGCTGGTGGCACTAGGAAACCCCTGACTGGCTCTCCTTCTTGCCACTCAGGTCCTGAGCCACAGCTTACTTGGGCAGAAACTCACCCATAGCCCCAGCCTTGGCCACAGGTGAGGTCTCCCAAGCCTTCTCAAGAGCTTTTGCATCAGGCTGGCCTCCACTAAATATACAAGGAAACCCTTCCTACATTACATGATAGCAGGGAGATCCTAGAAAGCCGTTGTCCTCTCTGAGCCTCAGTCCTCCTCCCTGTAAAATGGGGGTAATGATAATATTGCCATCCTAGGTGGCGATGGGGACTAATTTAGTGCTTAGCTTATGATAGAAGCTGAGAATGGTTACTATTTATTTTCTTCTTTGCTTTTTTGTCACAGGGGCTCAGCCTGCGTTCCCAAGCTGGGCCATCTTGATTGCAACCCCCGCCCCTGAGTCTTTTCTCTCAAACATGGCTGTGAGCTGGGACACAGTTGTCTTGATTCACCTCCATTCCTGTCTTCACCAGTAAAAGCCCACAGCTCTGCATGTGCTCAGGGTATGTATTTCTGCTGGTATCTTGAGTAAAACTAATCTGGGGTGTGTGCAGATGAGCAAAGAGATGGAAAGGGTAACACAAAGACAGAAGTCCCTGGCAGCCTGGGACTTTCTGTGGGAGGCAACTCAGCTCACTTAAGCTTCAAAACCCAATGGAAGGCTAGGCTCACACCTATAATCCCAGCATTTTGGGAGGCCGAGGCGGATGGATCACTTGAGGCCAGGAGTTCAAGACCAGCCTGCCCAACGTGGTGAAACCCCATCTCTACTAAAAATACAGAAATTAGACAGGTATGGAGGCTTAGGCAGGAGAATTTCTTGCACCTGGGGGGCAGAGGTTGCAGTGAGCTGAGACTGTGACACTGCACTCCAGCCTGAAAGACAGAGTGAGAACCTGTCTCAATAAATAAATAAATAAAAACATAAACAAACAAAAAAGCTTCAATGCAATGACCTCCTGATGCATACAAGGCACAGGGCCAGACCACAGGGCACACAGAGATGAAGGGGCATTATTTGGCCCTGGTGGCTCATGGCAGGAGCCTCACATTCAGCTGGGAACCTGTGTGGCACCCAGAGACCCCTTCCCACCCCGACCTGCGGAGTCTCTGGGGGCCCTTGATTTGGAGCATCCCTGGGGTCTCAGGCCTTCAGACCAGGACACAGATCCTCACTGCCCCATGGGCAGCCCCTGAGACAGACAGGTAGGTAGGCTTATTCTTCTTTTAAAAACTGAATTTGTTCGGCCAAGACAAAAGAATTGCTTGAGACCAGGAATTCAAGATTAGCCAGGGAAATGTGGTAAGACCACATTCTACCAAAAAATTAAAAAGTTAGCCTGGTGTGGTGGTGTGCACTGGTGGTCTTAGCTATTCGGAGGCTCAGGCAGGAGAACTGCTTGAACCCAGGGGGTCCAGGCTGTAGCGGGCTATGATCATGCCACTGGACTCCAGCCTGGGTGACACAGTGACACCCTGTCTCTAAAAAAAGGATACTATTTATTAAAGAATAACTTAATCAAATTGCACACATCTTAAGTGTACCACTTGATAAATTTTATACATGATTTATGAGTATTTCTGTGTGCCCCACCCACCCAGTTCAAGATAGGGAGTTTCCCTCATGCCTCCCTCCCCGCAAATTGCTCCCCATCCCCACAAATCACAATGATGACTTCTGTCACCCTAGATTCACGTTGCCTGTTCTTGAACTTCACAGACAGACGCCTATAGTCCATGCTCTGTTGCATTTAGTTTCTGTGGCTCCATAAGGTGCCCATGGGATTCGTTGGTGCAGCTGCTCCAGCCAATGTAGTCTGGGTTTTCAGGGCTGCAGTGGGAGAGTCCACTCCTGCTGTCCAGGTCTGGTACGCAGTGGGGCCTCATACTCTAGCCTTGGGATCTTGCCCTTTCTTCTGCTGTGGGGGACTCAGCCGGGGCTTTGTGTCCAGCTTTCACCCCTGTTGCTCCAGGACCTCGGCTCCAGCCACGTAGATTCCCAGCTGGATGTGAGGCTCCTGTGTCGGCCACCGTGGCAACATCACGCCCTTTCATCTCTGTGTGCCCTGTGGTCTGGCCCCATGAGTTGCATGCGGTAGGTGCTCCATAGATGGTCAATATAAGAAGAACGTGCTCACCCTTTTTTATAAAGGGAGGATGGTGCTGTCTACCTCACAGGGTTCTTGTGAGTTTTAAATCACAGAAAGTGTGCACCTCTCTGTGTCTCAGATCCCTGTGACAAGAGCACCACTGGCTGCTTCTAGAATACGTGCTGGGGCCTCCACCAAGCCCACCGCAGGTTTTGATTCATTAATGCAAACCCA